GAGAAATTTGGGTTGGAACAGTTGACAAATGTTATTAGGAGTAACTTTTAAGTGATATTAAGATTAATCTCATTTTATATCCGCTGTTTGTTCCGTACTCTAAAATGTTACGTTAGGTTGTTCTTTAATTTTCTTTTTTTTTTTGCGAATTTCGTCTCTCAATTGCATGTGTAGAGAGTAAGTCGGCGACTAACTGGGCTGGACCGCTTCCTCGTGTAAATTGTAATATATACCACTTAGTCTCTTTTCCATTTTAGTTGCAACATCAATGAATTGTACAATATTCACACACTCTACTTTAATTATATTTTATTTATTAATGTATTACTCTGTATTAGGGCTGGCAATATCACCCGCACCCGCGGATACCTGGTCAACCCGAACCGAAAATATGGATGAAAACCCGATCGAAGAAGTATGGATGAAAAATGGATGACGGGTGGGTCAAAAGACGGGGTGGATCGGGTGTGGATGAAGGCTCATCCAACCCATCACCCGACCCGTCACCCGTTCCATCCACCCACCCTGACCCACATATAAGTATATAATATATACTCCCTCCGTCCCTTATAACTTTGCCAACTTTCCCTTTTTGGATGTCCCATTAACTTTGCCACTTTCCCATTTAAGTAAAGAATTTGTGGTTCCAGTTAATTCTCTCTCCTCTGCACAAACCTCAACCACACAGTTTTTACTTTATTAATCCTCGTGCCGGTCAAACTTGGCAAAGTTATTAGGGACGGAGGGAGTAATATATAATATATATTATATCTATTTAGTAATATATAATAATAATAATAATAATAATAATAGTTAATTGGTGAAACAAAGATAATTGGAGAGCTTCAAGAAGTGACGGTTAAATAGCAAAAATAGTTTTGTGCCGATGCATAAATGCAGAATTTAACAATTTGAAGAAGTTTTATGTCTATTTTGTTTAACATTCAGTTTTTTTCTTTATCATTGGCAGTGAATTAATGATTGTAATATACTTAATTGCTCATGTTTTTGTTGTTATTTTACAATGAATTCTTAATTTTTGGTTCTTAATTGTCATGATTTCTCTTTGTAATTTATTTATTTTGTCTCAAGTTTGAACATTTATATTTCACCCGCTACTCACCCGATCCACCCGATACTTCGTTCAAGATGGATGGGTTGGATGTGGATGTAATTTTCACTACAAAAAAAACACGGGATTGGTAGGGATTTTGGCACGGATTTGACACGGATTTTGGCAGGGATACGCCAAATCCGTGCCAAAAACACGTTGGCACGAGCTATTTGGCACGAAACATTGATAAGTCCGTGCCAAATTCCGTGCCAATCCCGCCTTTTTTTGTAGTGTTTTAATGGATGATGGACGGGTGGGTGGAGTATAAAAAATTAACGGGTGGACGTGGATGAGCCTCCACCTGGTGAAAATCCGACCCGCTGCCATCCCTACTCCGTATAAGTTAAGTTTTTGAAAAATATTATTAAATTACAACTTTTTTTAATTTCTTTACAAACAAAGTTAGTTAAAGTGCTAAATGTGAAGTATATCTTACGGAGTACATCACATCACACAAGTTTGAGATGATACGTTTCTATTTCAAATCAGAAAGTGTTATACATTCCTGTCATTATTTTCCCTTACGTTGATTAAAAGTTATTTAAATGTGTTATACATTCCTGTCATTATTTTCGCTTACGTTGATTAAAAAGTTGTTTAAATGTGAGAAAAAAAAAGCAGAGTATACAGACGTCAAATGCGGTTAACAAAAACATACTCCGTATATTTTAGAAGGTACCGTAGAAGAGCCCGAAGAGAAAATGCATATTTAGGACGATCAAAGTGTAGAAGTATATGGTACGGAGTATTTAAATTTTAAACACCCATCTATTGTTTTATATGGTAAACTTGAGTTAAAAAATGATGATGTGTTAGCTTCTTATTTGACAATGCAAATTCTATTATCACTACAATTAAAACAATTAATTAATTCAATGTTCACCACAATTCAAAAAGGTGCACTACAACTAGTTTAGAGCAAAAGGAGGAGAAAAAAAATCTATTTTTAAAATGATATAATTAACTTTTATATTTATAATCCAATTTTTACAAAAAATATATCAAAATTCATAATTTTTTAAGGTGTTTCATATGACACCAATGATATATATATATATATATATATATATATATATATATATATATATATATATATAGAGAGAGAGAGAGAGAGAGAGAGAGAGAGAGAGAGAGAGAGAGAGAGAGAGAGAGAGAGAGTAATCTTCCGGTCAGGAATTTCCTGACCGGAGCGCCGTCCGGCCTCCTCCTTTTGGGCGCCTTCCCGGTGGTATTTTTTGCTCAATTTTTTTTTGTATGTTTCTCATCAAGTCTAGTTCATCCATACCAAATTTCAGCAAAAATTTCAATCGGGAAGGTCGTCAAATGATTTTTGCAAGTTAACTGGTCCGGAAAATACATATTCCGGACCAGTAAACTTGCAAAAATCATTTGACAACCTTCCCGATTGAATTTTTGGCTGAAATTTGGTATGGATGAACTAGACTTGATGAGGAACATACACAAAAAATGTGAGCAACAAATACCACCGGGAAGGCCCCCAAATGGAGGAGGCCGGACGGGGATCCTGTCCGGAAATATTCCTGTATCCTATATATGTATATGTATATGTATATGTGTATGTGTATGGCATGCGTATGTGTATGTGTATGTATATGTATATATATATGTATATAATTACAAAAGAATCCATTTTTTTATATACCAAAAGTGAGTTAAAGATTCGCTAAAATTGTATTAACAACATATTAGGTATTAACAACACAAATAACACTACCGCTTAATATGAAAGAAAAACCGGTCAAATAGATCACCTAATTCAACATGATATATCTACCGCTAATGGTACGGTACCACAATGACTACTCCGTATAGATTATCAACATGATATCGATCCAAAATGCATCACTTATTTGAACAATTGAAAGACTATTCTATGATTTTCTAACCCATATTAATTGTTAATATTATTGAAATATTAACATAGTATTTGAAAGATAATAATTTGTTGTGGCATGTTAATTTGAATTGGGAGCTAACACACTATTACCCAACCGCACCCACAATATATTTTGAATAAAACAATTAAGGGTGTTTTTATTTGGATTGCAATTTGTTGGTCTGGTCTGGTCTGGTCTGATCTGATCTGGTTTCTTTGTATTTTTATAAATATTCAAGTCTGGTCTGAATTGGTCTGGTCTGGTCTGATCTGGTCTGGGACAAATTACAGTTCAAGTAAAAACATCTTAGATCGTACAAGTGAATAGGACTCCGATAGTACATGGATGCGTATACCATACAGCCGGCTGTACGGCTGGCACCGTACAGCCTGTGGCATTTTGGTAAATTTTGTGAAGTTCGTGATTTCTCTTAAATGAGCATTGACATAATTTGGATGAGCATCGAGTTTGTTATTCTAAGTATTAAAAGCATAACAATGAGCACTAGTGATCTCTGCTTCATATCTTCTAATTCAGTTTCTTTTTATTAATTTCCGTTTATAAAAAATTCTTAAATAGTGTTTATAATTAATTTCAATATGTCAATCTAATGTAGCATGCTATGTTTGATATGTGCATCATTTTAAAATGAGCATAAACCAGTACCAAATGAGCATACATAATTTTCAAAATGAGTATAAAAAAATTCAAAAACTCATTTGTGTATGCTCATTGATTTTGGGCGTTATAGTTGATATGTGCAACCTTTTAAAATGAGCATAAAATAGTACCAACTGAGCATACATAATTTACAAAATGAGTATCAAATATATAAAAACTCATTTGTGTGCTCATTCATTTTGGGCGTTATACTCATTTGAGTTTAACATAAAACTCATTTTGAAACATGCATAAATATGACATTTTAAAATGAGTATTGCACTAATATACAATGAGTATACATAAATTACGAAATGAGTATTCAACAAACTCATTTGAAATGACTACTATGCTCATTATTTCATTTGTTAAGACTCATTTTCATAATATCTCACATAACAGGTTTATAAAAAAATGTCATAAGGGTTTGTGGATGTCAGGATGGTTGTAGTTAGCCTATAATTGCAAAAAAGATGGATAATGGGGTCAAAAGGATGTTTTGAATGTCGAGAACTTTGGTGAGAGGCGTTTGACAGAGGGGTTTTGATGTGGGGCTTCACTTTTTGGAACTACAAAGTGGATTCATCTTCAATGTTCATCGAAGAAGCATGTGAAGAAGCAGGTGAAAAATTTCTGGTGCGAAGCTCGATCGATCTTCTGGTGCAAGGGGAAGAAGCGCAAAAGCAAAAAAAAAAAAAGACCGGCTGTACCGTGTGCACGGTACAGCTGGCTGTAAGATGTAATTTACCGATAGTACATCACCCTAATATTACATCTAAACTCTACACGCTCCCAATTAGAAATCAACAATTGCATCGAAAGATTTGAATTGGCTTATTTGTCTCATTTTTTATTAAACAAGTAAATTTTGATTTTGTGCAATAATGAAAAAAGTATGATTTACGTTATTTTTCTGATTGTATTGACTAAAGTTATTTTAGAAGACAATTTTAGTTATTTTCATATAATTTTTTCTTTATTTGACTAAAAATATTTTTAAGTATTTTTTCATAAATCAGCAGAATCAGCCAATCTAGCCATTTAAGCCAGAATTTCATAAGTTTCACTATAATCGGCAGAATCAACCGATTTTGGAAACGGACTCTAAATCAACTTAATTATTTCTTACGAGCTACTTTTAAGTAACGAAAATGTATGTTTAAGTTGGAAAAGATTTTATGTTGATTTTTTTTTGTTATTTGACAATCTCTTTTTTTTATATAGTAAAACTGAATTATAAATCAATGACGTGTCAATCTATGATTGGTTACTAAAAATTTGATTATCACTTTTATTAAAACATTTAATTATATCTCACAATGCCAGTTCACACGATCCATGAATAGCTATTCACATTAATTAGGCCAACTCATCATTTGGAGAAAAAAGAAGAGAAAAAGTTTCATACATAACACTTTTATTATTCTCCAATTACGAACTGCTACAAGAATAACAATAATGTACTCCCATCGTCCTAATGAAACCCAATGAAACGTGGCCACAACGAGGATAGGCCTAGATTGCAACACATGTAGCGGCTGCAATATTGTGGTTGCCTTCTGTAGCGCAACCGCATCGGGCAGCAATGGAGGTGCGGTTTCAATTCACTGGGGAAATCTACTATGTAACCCAACGAAATCGTAAGGTGGCCGCAGCGGGGCCATATCGGATCGTATGAAGACATCAACAATAACTATTTTCTTATTTTGTTTGAACGTAAATTCAATTACACCGCACGGCCGCAATAGCGGCCGCAACTGCAGTGACCGCAACCACAATGCTACCTCAATAAAAAACATTGATATAGACTACAAAGTAAGGGTATGTTTGGCACAACTAGTTGAAAAGATAATTTGTGAGCGTTTTCGTAACTGTTAACTTTCAGTAGTTACTGAAAAGATCTTAAAAAGAAAAGGTGGTAACTGTTTGGTAAAAAGCTGACTGTTTAATTTAGTTCTATTTGGTATACAAGCTGTTAAGACTAATTGATACTAAAAGTCACATGCTTTTCTCAGATGCTACTCTCGGTAGCATCTCAAAAAATATCTTTTAATTTTTTATACGCTCTTAGAAATTGTCATGCCAAACATACAACTTAAATTTTTTAGAGACTATTTAAACAGTGCAAAAGCTAGAAGAGAAAGACTCATGTAAGTCAAACATGCGTAAATATGTGATATATATGATGATGGATAATTTAATATATAATCATTTAACATATACTCGTATAAATTTATTATTGTTTGTGGTTAGATCATAGTAAAAATGTGTTATATTAACCTTTGTATCCTATGGATCAGGGCCGGTCCTGAGAATTCGGAGGCCCTGTGCAACGAAAAAAATTGGCCTTTTTTTCATGTTCCAAACACAAGTGATTTGATTAAAATACAAGTTATTAATGAACATAAAAATAAAAATGAAAGTAGTCATTAATAAAATACCTTTCATTTGAAAAGAGACATTCTTCTTGCATATTTAGAGGCAAAGTCATCTACCAAACTTGCAATGTCAATCTCTTGGAGTGTTTCATGTTCTATTGATATCAACGCCAATCCATTGAGTCTTTCTTGGGACATAGTTGACCGCAAGTAGTTCTTCAACAACTTCACAGCTTGTTTACCCTCTTGAACCTCCTTAGCTTCTTTAATAATAAATTTATCAAGAGCTCCTTTTTGAGACAATGTTAACTTTTCAATTTTTCTTCTCTTCAGAAGCTTGTCATGACCAGAAGGGTATTTCTTTGGTCCCATAATGACTACCAAATACTCCCTCCGTCCCGTTGGAATGTTCCCGGTTTGACCTACACACATATTAAGGAAATAAACTTACCAGGGGGTAAATTTTACTGTTTGGGCACTGTTTGGGCACTGTTTGGCACTGTTTGACACTGTTTTGCACTGTTTAACACTGTTTTGATGTAGGATAACTTTCCATTTAGGGAAATGGGAACTTTCTATTGGGACATCCAAAAAAGGAAAGTGGGAACATTCCAACGGGACGGAGGGAGTACCAATTACTCAAGTTCTCCCCTAATCCTGTCATGTTTAAAAAAATTAGGTTAAAATTAAATTTACATTATTCAAATTCGTAATTGACTAATTTGTAAACACCATTAACCCCAGGCCTTCAATTACTTAATAACTAATAAATCATTCCAATAAATAAGCAAACAACAATAACACAAAAAGGCAACAAACCTAACACAGAGTAAATACTAAATAGAATTCACTAATTTGCAATTCAAAGCATCAAACAAACAGGAAAATTAATGTTTTACAGCTGCAGTGCTTACCGAGCTACAAGACTGGTGTGCATGTCATGTCTGCCGGTCTGGTGCAATGGTGCGGCGGAATCAGGCCCTTGCTAGCGTCTCGGTCTCTCTGTCACTGCTTTGTGGAGGCTGCGTCTTGACTCTTGGAGGCTGGAGGTGGAGGCGGGCGTCACTGCGAGTCCAAACTTCAACCTGGCTCTTGCTAGCGAGTGGCGGAGATTCCGGCGAACCCCTACGAAGCTTCGACCTTCGCAGTTCGTTCCAACTTCCAAGCTTTCGAGTTCCTACTTCGGCAGTCGGCAGATTGGACTAGCTGTTTAGCCGGTTCCCTAACTCCTTCGTTCCTTCTTTCAACCGTTCGTTGACTTCGTTCCTATTTGCGTTCAAAGATTAGATCGATTCTTGCCATCTTGGACTGAGATGCTGAGTAATACTAGTAATAAAATTTTTTTTGGGCCTTCCAAATTAAAGGGCCCTGTGCAGTCGGGCTGGGTGCACCTGCCTTGGGCCGGCCCTGCTATGGATGATTCACAAATTGACACGCCGCAACCGGGGCATTGCCCCGGGCTTTACACTAGTTTTGAGACGAAATTTAAGTTTGAATTACGTAGTATATATGTGTGTGTGTTGATTGAGTAAACTTTAGTTTAGGTTACACCGAAAAGCAAATAGTTTGATTTATATACGTATATTGTAGTTTCAATGTTTCATACTTTTATGAGGTGAGTAAGAAATTCATTTTTAAAATTTGAATGTTTTATTTGCCCACCGCGAGTCCGCAACTCCTTAACCCTAGCCTTCAGTGCCTCGTCCAATTAAAGTGAACTTTCTCTAGACAAATTAGAAAGTTGTCAGTATAAGTTCGTCAGAAGAAAATAATGAACTATTGGCTGAGTGGCTGGGATAATCAATCTAGTATCAATTGCTAGTTGTATTACGTCAAAAAACGATCTTAAATTAAGAAGTGAAAATGGGACACGAATTTACATTAATGTAATCCCGTGTATTTAAATTTCAAAGAGATTCCCTTATGCAGCCCCGTATTTTTTGTCTGCATCTATTAGTATTGGGAAAAGGGTCAAATAGGCCCCCTACTATAACGAAAATGTCAATTAAGTCCATCAACTCAAATATCATCCAATTAAACCCACAAACCATAAAAAATGAGTCAAATTGTCTCTTTAGCCTGTGGTCTTCCGGTTGCCGGTCAAATTACTTATCTGGCATATTTTTCTTTTTCTAATCCATTTTCTTATTCCTTCTTTCTTTTCATTTCTTCTTCCTCGGTTCCCTGCGCGTGAGCTTCTTCCTCCCTTCTCTCTTTTCCTTCTTTTTCTTTATCCTTCTTCCTTTTCTCATCTCCAAGGTTCTCTGCTATCGAGAAGTCCTCTTCCGGTCACCTGGTTCGTCGCCCTCACCCGTCTTCTTCGCTTACGTGAGTGGACGCTGAAGACAGGACGACGACGACGCCTATGGCCGCCGCCGCCGCTGGTTCTTTGCCCCTGAATCAGAACTATACTCCATATTATCTTCAAGTTCTTCTAATTCGAATTGAGCTTTTACTCTCGTAGAAGCTAGAGATCGATGGGATCAAATTGGGATGAAGCTCAAGTCCGGCCTCTTCCCTTATGACGGCGTTGGAGCGGCGAAATTGAGCGGCGTTTGGTGGCGAAATCAGGTAGTGTTGTCTTGTCGACATGGTGGGATCTGGATCTGCACTTCTGTGAATTGTGATTGAAGTTAATGGCGCAAGGGAGGAGGAAGAACAGAGAAGTAACGAACCAGGAGAGTAAAAGGAAAAAACAAAGGAAAGAAAGAAAAAGACAAATAAAAGAAAAAGAAAAAAAATTACACATGTGTCGCCACGTGTGCAAATGTAACTTGTAACCGGTTGGTAACCTATTAAAGAGCTGATTTGAACGTTTTTTCATAGTTCAGGTGTTTAATTGAGCGTTTTTTGAGTTCGGGGGTCTAATTGACATTTTCTGTATAGTACAGGGACTTATTTGACACTTTTCCCATTAGTATTTGTATAATTTCACTTGCAAATCATTTCTTCTAATTTAATTAATATTTTTCTTTTACTACTTTTTCACTGAAAAGTACAATTTCCTTAAAAAGCAAAATAGGAAAACGGATGCCGTGTGAATTTTCCGCAAGAAATTATACATTCAAGTAAAAAAAATTACGGATGAGAGTATAATGTTATATAAATTAAATGGTTTACCAAAAAATATATACAATAGTTTACCAAAAAATATATGTACAATATAGGCCAGTGCTTTATATAACAACCTTTTTTTGTAGATATAAAAGTTACCATAAGTAACAGTCTAAATGAGAATATAAAAAAAAAAGGATTACACTCTATGTAACACTTGAGAGCCGGGCAGGGTGTTACACTCTATCCCAGAAATCCCCACTACCGGTCAAATAGTTAAATGAGAAGATTTAAATTGGACTTTAGTTATAGATTGGTAGACAACGAGTGAGGCTATGGCCAAATGTAACTACTTGCAAAGACTTTACATTTTGCATAATAACCTATCATCAGAGTAGTAAGAATCAAACTCGAGACTTATCTCGAGAATATTCATATTCTATACAGATTATATATATAGGGTCCAGTTCCCATAAAAAGCAGTCCTCTCATACCAAACGCGAACAACTCCACTTTTAAGCATCAGAGGTGCACTATTGCATTGAGAAGTTTTCCGTCATCCACTTTAGCTCATTTAAGTTAAATTATTGCACATACAAAATTCACTTTTTGCAAAGAATAATTTTTTTGATTCAGTGCATTTTGACATGTTTAAAGCCATTATATCTTAGATCTAATGCACCATATCGATCCATTCTTACTATTTATGGGAGTGATACTTCTTACATTTTAGATCAAATAAAAAGTACTTCTTACGTGAAAAATGCGAACTAATTTCGATCATTAGTATCAAAACATGAATCGAAGAGATCAAATTTTAAGTAAAGAACACATTAACATTATAGTAGTACAAATATGTACAATGTACACCACATTTAAAAATACAAAATTAAATATGTACATTATAGAAGAACCTTATATGAAAAACTTGTAGCAAATGTGTATTACACTACTACAATTTTAGACCTAACGTAACATGAAAGATGTAACATATCTATAATCGTGTTACATATTTATCTAATGTAACACTTTTAGACCTAGTGTAACACTTTCTAGAAGTATAAATGTTACATCAGGGACTATAAAGTGTTACAATAGGTCAAATGAAACATGAGCAAATGTAATGATAAAAATGTGTTACATTTTCTCTAATGTAACACTTTGCGGTGATATTGTAACACTTTTGGGTGATACATTAGAGGTTGAAATGTTGTAGTGTTATAATATACAAAAAAAAATGTATATATGTACAATGTACACCACATTTAAAAATACAAAATTAAATATGCCTACCTTAAAAAATATGCTACTCCCTCCGTCCCAAAATTATCTTCATAGTTACTATTCACATGGTCAATTCAAATTACTCTTAATCTTTTACTTTATATATCAAATTTTTATCTAATTTAAATTTTCTTGATCAGGCTTTGTAGCGGTTTTAATGTAGTTTCTGAATATGTAAATTTTATTTTCTAAAAATAATCTGAGTGTGAACAGGGATCGAGTTGCTTTATCGTCAGTCAAGCATCGTAAACCGAACTATGAAGATAAATATGGGACGGAGGTAGTAATATTTTTCACCTTTGAATGCATTTCTAGCTAGAAGTGATTCGCTTTGTGTTATAATTGTCTAAAATCTTATAAAGGCCAATGAAGGTTAGAGCCTTTTAGGTATAAAAAAAAGTATTGGTGGAACAACTAAGCATAACATACTTAAACTATATGCTTTACGGATTGTACTGATTAGTTTGATGTCTAAGTCTACTGTCTATCTTCGTTAAACATATAAAAGCCCGATGTTTCTATCCCTGGTTCATTTTCGTTAAAATAAAACAACTCTCAATCGTCAAGGCTCTCAACCTTTCCATTTATTCCAATTTAGGTCACATGGATCATCTTGCACTTCGAAATTTAACCTATCGTGTTTAGCACTATTGTTCGTTCCGTCTTCTTTCCCGGTAGGTTCATCCCTTAATTTGGTGAATTTCAATATTTAGTTGATTAGCCCGATCTTGGTTTTCATTTAAGTTTAGCCATCATAATTTGTGAAACTGCGATCATAGTTCGTGGCTTACAGTTTGAATCAAGCAGCATCTGTGGTTTCAAAGTGCACCATAACAGTTTTAGGGTTGTTACTTCCTACAATGTCACTTGAAAAATTTCAATTTCTTATTTGTATCTCACTACATGCTTGTATAATATTTTATTCCTTAAGTTACTAAATGATTTTGTGGTATGAATTTAGGTAAAATGCTTCTTCCCAGTTAGTTGCAAATTACAGAATTTGCATAAAGTACTATTTATTAACTTATTATGTATTTTTATATCCCTGAGTTGGATTTTTTTGGCTCCTAGAAAAGTTAAACTTATAGAGCCCGTTTGGAGAACTCTGTTTTCGGCTTATCAGGCTTATCAGCCAGCTTTTTCACCAAACACGTAACTTTTACTTTCGCGCGCTGAATTGTGTAATAAGCCGAAAAAGTAAGGTTGGAGTTACTTTTCTGGCTGTATTGGCTGAAGTTACTGTAGAGGACCATTTTAGCTATTTTTACATATAATTTTTTCTTTAAATTATTAATAAAATATATTTTTAAAATATTTTTTTCTTAAATCAGCAGAATCAGCCAAAACAGCCACTCCAGCCAGAATATCATAAATTTCAGCAGAATCAGCCAAAACAGCCGATTTTGGTGCTACCAAACGGGCTCATAAACTTATCTATTACTACGTATAAGTTAAACTTATAATATTTATGCTTGAATTAGAAAGGGCCAATTTTGTTGTTGTTGCACAGGTTCTCAATTTTCGTAAGAGCTGCCCTGAACAGGAGAAAATGGAGAAAAGCGATAAGAATAAGGTGGCGGTGCTACCATGGATGAGAAACCCAATTGACATCTCTGTCAATGATGAGTGCCCTCTAAACCATCTCCCTTTTCTTGACCCTCAAGGTAATAAGAACCATGGTTGTTGTACAGACTATTTTAGCACCACTTTATTTTCTTTTTGCATAGATGTTCAATACTAAATTAGGATGTAGCAGGACACTCTATTTGAATCAGTAAGCTTTGCCGTTTTGTGATTTTGGATTGTTTCTTGTGACACAAAAATTGAGTTGAAATGCTGATTGTCTGATTGGTGGAGATTAATAATTACATGTTGAACAAAACAAAACTTCAGTTTGCAGAAGGTAAAGTGCATCCTGGCATCCTGCCATGGGTGATAGTGGAATAAAACATTAGATACCGATATTGTTTTGCATTATTTCAAGACAGGTGGGAGGAAAGTGAAGTTAGACTAAGGAGTAAGAAATGACTTGTTTGAGTAGAAAGTATGAAATTTAGAATAAGTTCTATCCTTGTGTTGTTGTGACCAAACATAACCCATTTTTATGACAGGAGTATAAGTTTTCGAATTTAGTAGAGAATAATGCAATGCGAAAAGTGAGAGTTTTTAGACCGTAAGTATTAGTTGATTAAACCCACTTGTGCCTCATTCAAACCTCACTTCTAAAAGCATGTTAATATGTATAGATTTTTTTTAAGTTAATCATTTTCACTTTCTTTTGAACTATTGAAAATATAATCAAATATAGGTAATTAACTTCCTCGGCGTTTTTCCTGTTCTCAAGCACTTTCCATGGTCTGACTTCCAAACACTCCCTTAATTTGTTAATGAACAAAAGGTATCAAATAATTTGTAATGTTACATTTCTTGCAGAAGTTCTGAATTCTATGGTGATCAGCACGTATTTGTTGAAATATAGTTAATTAGTTGGAATGATTAATTTGTTGTTTGGAAATAATCAAGGGGTTTTTCAAGCAGTCCGGGAAACGGGGAAAGCCATGGGCAGTTCAAGCAAGAGTTAGGAGTTAGGACTTTGGCCTGTGAATCGGGAGTCCAGCGAGCCAAGCTAGGGGCTATCCAGGCACAAGGTAAGACTCATAAAAGTGATGGGTGGTCTAGGCAAAGATCAATGGCACCTGAAACATGTATTTTTACTTTTCTGCTCCATAAATGATATTTTCTTCTTCTTATTTGTGAAAACCAATGTTATGCAAGAAACTTCTCCAATGTTGAGTGATGAGAATGATAAACACATTATAAAAAAGTCTTATAATTTGTAGTTTGCTTGCTCATTAAGATAGGTTGCTTGGGAATTTTTTATGACACCAACCGTAACATAGTGATATGATTTTCTGAATAATCACACTGCTTAATTTAGTTCCAGAGGATAAAAGGGCACTGACTGAAGGGGCAGGTGATGAGAAAGCCACAGTGAGAGCAAAGAAGAAGTGAAGAGGGACGTTGTAGTCGAAGCAAGGGATGTTGATAACAGTAGAATGCAGCTCCCATGGCTTCTTCCAAGTTCTTCGTCATCATTTCCTACCCCTGTTGTAGCATTTCCAGATTTCTCATTCCCGCCTATATATGTATCTAAAAACTTATAAACACCAATGATGGTTAGGGCATTTTAGGAATGATAAAAATGTTGGTGTAACACTAAAGCAAGTTACACTTATACAATTTGTTTTGATTATTGTACCTTTCATCATTACTCTTATTTCTACTACTTACTCTGTTACCAACTGTTAAGTTTCCTATTAACATCCTATATGTGGCTTTCGTATTTTAATTATTCTATGTACTTAATGGGATTGATTTTTATGTAATGTTTTCATTTAATTTTGCATTTTAAAACTTTTCTCTAGGTCACCGTATATGTTATGTAGAAGATGAGATGCTACTTTGTTTAAATTATATCTTATTAATAAAAAAATTAAGAAAACATAACATGAAAATAACTGAAATAGTATTCCACGGTAATGTTAGTCAATTCAAACAGAAAAGTATTAAGTTATTTTCCGATTGTTTCTACTTTAAAAGGTGAATTTTTTAAGTGATTTTGAAGAAAGTGTTTAATAGTAAAAGTTAGTAGTGTTTGAAAAAATGTGTTTCTAGAAAGTAAATGTTGGTGGTGTTTGGTAAAAAAAGTGTTTTTGTGTAATAAAAAAGTGAAAAGCTCTTTTAGAGGCTGTTTGGCAACACTGTTTTTCGGTTTATCAGGCTTATCAGCCAACTTTTTCACCAAACACGTAACTTTTGCTTTCGCGCGCTGAATTGTGTAATAAGCAGAAAACGTAAGGTTGAAGTTACTTTTCTGGATGTATTGGCTGAAGTTACTGTAGATGACCACTTTAGCTTTTATTTTATTAATAAAATATATTTTAAAAATATTTTTTCTTAAATCATCAGAATCAGCCAATGCAGCCACTTCAGCCAGAACTTCATAAATTTCTACAGAATAAGCCAAATCAGCCGATTTGCGTGCTACCAAACGGGCTCCTAAGGCCCCCCTCTACTTGTTTCCGACTTTTAGATTTAAAGTGCTTAATTTAAACAATAGTTTTCGAATTGTATAATAAGCAGAAAACGTAAGGTTGAAGTTAGTTTTGTGGATGTATTGGCTGAAGTTACTGTAGATGACCACTTTGGCTATTTTTACATATAATTTTTTCTTTATTTTATTAATAAAATATATTTTAAAAATATTTTTTTCCTAAATCATCAGAATCAGCCAATGCAGCCACTTCAGCCAGAACTTCATAAATTTCAGCAGAATCAGCCAAATCAGTCGATTTTCGTGCTACCAAACGGGCTCTTAAGGCCCCCCTCCACTTGCTTCCAACTTTTAGCTTTAAAGTGCTTAATTTAAACAAAAGTTTTCACTTGAAAAAACTCATTTTAGCCCCTTTTAAGCCAAAAGATGAAAAAGTACGTGTTTGGTAAAAAAGTTGGTTGATAAGGATGATAAACTGAAATTATGAGTTACCAAACGGGGTCAAAATTAACTATAAGTTTGTTTCCACATACTTGTTTGTTTTTACACCTATAATGCTAATTTAATCTCTATTCAATTATATATATTGTCAAATTGTTTGTGGTATTGGAACCATGTGTTTGGAGAATGGTTCTCCTTATGTTATTGATATGTCAACGAGCGTCTATTTTGTGGTGAAAAACTTTGCTATTTTTGTTATTGGCTATGAAATAATGTTAATCGCTAATGTTAGTTTGATCTTTTTCTTTGTCATTGTTGCTCTTAGATGATACACTCAGAACGGTGCAATAATTTATTTTATTTATAACATGACTACTTTGTTTTGAGTTGTAATTTGAAATAAAAAGTCCACCTCATAGTCTCATACACTCATATATGTAACTTTTTTATGTATATATTTGACTAACTTATTTATTGACTTTTTTTAAAAAACCTTGCGTTATTTCTATTGTTCTTGAATGACTATAGTTCTCATGCATCCATAGTAATACGTACTTCCAAACTCTTAAGAGATTGTTAAAGTCAAAATCTTGACACCTAGATATAAATCCACTCCGTTGAAAACTTAAACTCACCTCCTTTAGAACTAGAACTTAAGACTATAATACTCTTTCATCCTCTGCAGTTAGTGTCATTCTTACCATTCGAAACCCTTGACCTTAAGTACCACATTTAGTTTCATTGTCTAGCTGTCAATTCTTTGATTTAGTGATTTGAATTAGAGGTGATAATTAACCCTTGTCTTTATACGAGACGAGTTAGTAGTTATTTGTTCTGTCTGATTCAAATAGTTTGGTTTCAATACTTAGAAAGTTTATAGTAATAATTTTAGTACTAACTAAAAAAACAGATTTTATAAATGTATTGGGCATTGGCTCAATCGCGCAACGTGCGACACAAAAATTAGTATTGTTATAAACGTTACACATTATTGCTCTACAACGTCTTTTACAGTTCAGCTAATCTATCAATTCTGAAGTGATTAAACACAAGATTTATTCACATTTGTAATGGGAGGACCTCCAAAATCTACTAGAATTGCTTAAATTTATACTTTTATAATTTTCTTGTGGCTAATATGAGTTACAACAACATGAGACTAATCATTCATATTTTTAAAATACTACCTCCGTCCCAAAAAACTTTGCCATTTTCATGCCATTTTCAAAACTTTGCCATGATAATTGTTTTCAAAAAACCTAAACATAATTGTGTTTAAAGTTCATCTAATCCATCCATTTTCAAGTGATGGAAGACCAAGATTTGTTCTCACTTTTCATGGGAAGACTACTTTTCACTAACTCCTGACCTGAACATTTGTGCATATATATATATATATATATATATATATATATATATATGCACAAATGTTCAGGTCAGGAGTTCCTGACCGGAACCGCCGTCCGGACCGCGGCGTTTGGCCGCCTTACGGGTGGAATTTTTTGATGAACTTTTTATCACATGTTCTTCATCAAGTCTAGTTTATCCACAAAAAAATTCAGACAAAAACTCAATCGGGAAGGTCGTCAAATAATTCTTGCAAGTTAACTGGTCCAGAATATGTATTTTCCGGACCAGTTAACTTGCAAAAATCATTTGACGACATTCCCGATTGAGTTTTTGGCTGAATTGTTTTGTGGATAAACTAGACTTGATAGAGAACATGTCATAAAAATTCCATAAAAAAAAGCCACCGGGAAGGCGGCCAAACGCCGCGGTCCGGACGGCGGTTCCGGTCAGGAGTTCCTGACCGGATCATTACTCTATATATGTGTGTGTGTGTATGTTATTTGGTGTTCCGTTCGGTTTACGGTTTTTCTGTTTTAAACCAAACCAAACCAAAGTACCAAACCATTCGGTTTGAGCAAATGTTTACCAAACGGTTTACTTAAGTAAACCCAAACCAAACCAAATCAAACCACCAATGTTAATAATAGTTCAAAAAAATTGAGTTTCTTTAGTTCGGTTCGGTTTTGTTCGGTTTTATCCGTTTCGGTTCGGTTCGGTTTAATACGGTTTGAAAGAAATAGTACCAAATTCAAACCAAATTGCATACGATCTGGTTTCGATTCAGTTTAGTTCGGTTTGGTACGGTTCGGTTAAACCAAACTGTTATGTCCACCCCTAGAACAAAATACACAACATTTGGGACTACAAACACATTTGCACCATCCAAAAATTGATGTATTCTTTATTTCATCATAAATGAGTTCAAGTTCCAATATACTCCCTACTATGCATTTAATTTGATGTATTGGTGAATGAAAGGTATCATTGGTCATTGCACGCGGGCAGTCGCTATATATAACTACCTCCATCACTACCAAATTCAGTCACCACCCACAAGTCACAAACTTGCTAAGCTTCTTCTATCGATTTCCTCTTCAGATATGGAGAACCCGTTCAAGCTCAAGCTCCACCGTATTTTCCGTTCATGCAAAACTAAGAAACTAACTTCTGATGTCGTCATTCATAGTATCAATAATAATACTAATGATGATAATAATCATCTCTTCTTTGATGAGCTTTTCACCCCAAAACCTCGTACTTTCCGCTCCACTAGCCGACCAACATGCCCTAAAACCTCCCGACCAGATTCCCAAAGTCAGAAATGCCCTCCCACACCACCGTATTTACCTCCATACCACCGCCCGGAGAAATATTCCTGTGGCTCGGCGTGTGCGCCGAGCCAGCACAGGAAGAGCAAGAAAAAGAAGAGGAAGAAGACGCAGCGCAGAAGTCGTTACATCATCGGCCGTCTCGACGATTTCCACGACATCTCGGGGGCATTCATGTACAACGGGTTGTTCAGTAGCGACGACGGAGACGGAGATATGCTTTTCTCGTCGTCCCGGTCGCTGTCGCTGTCCTCCGACTCCGACTCGGTGGGCGGATCTTTGCGCCGCCGTAAGTCGGCGGCGGTCAACGGCAGCTTTGCGGTGGTGAAGCGTTCGAGCGACCCTTACGGAGACTTCATGGCTTCCATGGTGGAGATGATAGTGGAGAAAGGGATATTTGGAGGGAGAGATCTGGAGAAGCTTCTCCAGTGCTTTCTCTCCCTTAACTCCGATCATCATCATGGGATTATAATTGAAGCTTTTTCTGACATTTGTGAAGCATTGTTTTCTCTATCGTTGAATGAAAATTAATCTAAAAAAAACTGGGGAAAATTTTGGAGGTAGCGGCGGCATCATTCTACCTGGAACAAGTTTTTTGATTCGTGCGAACAATTTGTAAGATTATGTGAAAAAGAACTTCTGTTTTCTAAATAAGATTAATTAGTGTAATTTATTTTACTCAAACTTATTCCAACCATAAAACTACAATCTTTTTACCAAAATCATTTTTTGCACAAACCGTTTTGGTTAATTGGATTTTCTTTTGGTCCCCACTTTCGATCTCCTTCCAAAACAACTTTACTATTAGAGGATGCACGACAAAACCAAAAGAAAATTAATGCAAGACAAGAAACAAATTTATATTTAATTAATGGTAGATTCTAGGTATGTTACCGAAATTTTTGGTTAGGTATGTTACCCAAGCCATTTCGGAACGGTATCGGTATATACCGTATAAGGAAGTCTCGTATAATAATATACCGAAGTTTCGGTACGGCATACGGTATGACACAAATTTTTGGGTATGTCATACCGAACCAGCCCTAGACGTAGGGAGTGTTTGCAAATGCTTCTGCTTAAAAAAAAGCACTTTTGGAGATGTAAGGAAAAAGTGATTAGTAGGAAAAGTTGATAGTGTTTGAGAAAAAAGTGATTTTGAAAAGTAAAAGTTGATAGTGTTTGGTAAAATAAGTGTTTTTTGTGTAATAGAAAGAAGAAAAGCACTTTTTACACGCAAGCCGAGAAAAAGTAAAAATTGGTAGTGTTTGGTAAATAAGTGCTTTTTTAAGCCAAAAGCTGAGAAGTGCTTTTTTTTAAGTGATTGCAAACACTCCCGTAGTACAAGTAAGTATCGGATCAAATATGCTCTTGTTTCAATCTGTGTGGGACAGACGTACTATAAGGAAGTTTTCATTTGTATTGAGTTTTCTCATGTGATCGGGTAAAAGTATAGTTGACTAACAATAGTTGACTAACTATTGTCTATAGTTTAAGGCTAGGTTAAGTTGTCTAATTGAATAAAAATGTTGTACTATGTATTGAGTAACTTTTGTTTAAGTACTTTTGCTTGAATAAAACTAATGTAAGAATGAAAAGATTTAAACTTTGCAAATAGAGCAAATATATAGCATTTCATATATACTCTCACTCAAGTTCTTGAGAGAAAATCACATGCCCATGCCCAAAGTGATATATAGTAAAAGTCAAATTTGCCCCATTCATCGATTCATCTCCGCCGTTTGAACCCTATTTGGGGTGCCGTCAGCTGCAGAACCTTTGGTAAGTCATCACATTTAAGACATATACGTAGTACTCCGTATTAATTAACAAAACCTTTAAAAAGCCTAAACTATCTCGACTCTTCTTCCTTATTTAGAAGTATGTACTAGACGATAAATCTGTGAGCTGCTCGGAAATTCATTTATAGAACAATAAGAGTAAAAATAGAATCAATTAATGAAACTTAGGCTAAACTTATAATACTAAATTCAATTACCAAACATGTTTGTCCTACGTTTATTCGAACATTTAAAAATTATTGAGTCACTTGTAATTGTCATGGGGACTACCCTTGTTTTAAATGCTATCGAGCAATTCCTGACCGTGTTGGACCTCTTTTAAGTGCTATTGGACCACTCTCAAGTCCTCTTGAGCTATTCATGATGGTTATTAGGCCCTATCAAGAGAAAATATTGATATGGATTCCTTCAAATAAAATTGAATGATTAAATTAATTTGAATTATTTAAGATATTCAATTCATTTAATTATAAATCGAGCCTTAAAAGTAATGGGCTGAACCTATTAAATTCTCTACCTTGAGCTCAAAATTAAATAGTTGCTCAGATAAATAAAAAAATATGATCCGATTATGAGAAATATGTTCATATGCAAGGAAAATAGTTATAAATCTTGTTAATAAAGCTGCCGAAACCGATATATTGCACACATGATGACTTTTCTAGCTATAAAAATACAAGTAAATGAAATTCAAAGCCCATTCTAATCAAATACCTAGACATCTTGACGAACTTTGTGGAATCAGTAATTCATATCTCATGTGATCCGTATATATAAATATGAGTCTCAGTTGAGAAAAATGAATAAATCCCATTTGATGCATTTACATTATGGACCCATTTACACTGAATAGGTTTCCTATAGACCCACAAATCTCACAATCACCGTCAGGTTCAAGATTGAGATGCTCGTCATTGGATCTACAAAGCTCGTTGCAGCCTGAGTATTTGCCATCACAAGTTTAGAAGCTTGTGACCGACGTAGAAGCTTCCCCACGACTAATCAGAAACTCATTTCTGCGTTCAATAATGGGCCTGTTGCAGGGGAGGATCTATGCATGGGCTATGATAGGCTGAAGCCCATGACAACTTAGAAAATTTTCAATTTTTTAGTGTACATTTTTTCATTTAACACGTTTAGCTTACCATTCTAATATTTAAGCCTAATATAATTTCTATTCAACTCAGGGCATCTCAATACATTCATTAATATTTGGTCACATTTTGTCTAATAAAAACATGGCTAAACTAAAACATTTATGAAGAAGTACAAACTATTTTTATTGAAAAATCAATCATATAAATTTTGTCATTATTTCAAGTTCAAAATCGTGAAAAAAGAAATGATACATAATACGGAGTACGAAATAGTTGGGCTACTAGTCCAAAATAATTACGTGGCGCTAGACCAAATATGAAATAGAAGAAGCACAAACTATTTTTATTGTTAGAAAATTATCAATTAAGTATTTGAATTTGTTTCCAATGAAGTAAAAACTTTATTAACTTATATTGTACGGAGTAAGTTATAACGTAACGTACTCCAACGAATTGAATTCTCTAATAGAGTAAAGAATATATCAACTTATATACTCCCTCCGTATCTTTAAAATCTTCCCATTTCAAAAGTAGGTAGATTAAGAATAGTGAAAGATGATATGAATTATTGAGGGTATGATGCGAAGATTTGGAAATGAGAAGATTTTTGTGTTACGGACGAAAAAGGAAAGTGGGAAGATTTTTAAGTTACGGAGGGAGTACATTATATTGGAGCTCAAAAAGGTACCATAACATATATTTGGAGTGTCGTACGTAGCACTTTAGCCAAACGGAGTACATATTAAACCTAAGCTAGAAACGACAATTTACTTACAAGACTTTAAAGCTCTAATATATGCTATGGGTATGTTTGGCAAATGGCTTATCAGCCGGCTTTTAGCTTGTTTGACCCATTTCAGCTGTTTGATTGGTCAAAGAAGCTAATAATGATGTTTGGTAAATGACTTTTAAAATTAGCTTGTTGAGTTTGAAAAACTGAAAAAATGGATTGTTGAAGAAGCTAAGGGGAGCAGCTTCTTCATTCGGCTGGTTCAATTTACACTCTATCAGCCATTTTGAAACAACCAATTTTACCAAACAGTTATCTATAATCAGCTAACATAACCAGCCGGTCAAAAAAGCTAACACAACCAGCTGTTAGGAAACAGCTGACACAACCAGCTAACAACAACAGCTAACAGCCATTTGCCAAACATACCCTATGTCTGCATGTGAACTTCATGTACTAATAATTTAAAAGCACGTCTTATATTATACAATAAAAACAAGTTTTCTTTCATGAACATTATTTTGGATCTGTCATTACGTATGTGATTAATAAATGTTGAATATGTTTCTAAGAATAAGTTATTTTTCTGAAATAATGTTATAAATAATTATAACTTTAAGACAACACATTTTGATGTAAAAACAAAATAAAATTTGGATAACTGTTTTGACTTTATTAGGCAAACAAAAATAAGTATTTTTAAAAAATTTGCAGGTGATTATTAAAAAAGTTCAATAAATTATTTATTACTCCATAATTTAAAAACTTGGGTGTGACATTAAATTAGCAGCTTCATCCTCTTTCGGAGCAAAATTCATCGTTTTGCTACCTCACCACAAATGGATGCAAGTGTAACTCGGGTGAATATTTTTTCATTGAGATCAGATCATTGCATTAAAAATTATCAAAGAAGGATCATTTTTTTGAGAATTCTAATTAAAATCACAACTTTAGTATCATGATGAGAAATTTCTTCCGCAATACGCATGCATCGATGCACAATTAAGTTTATGTAGGCTTGCACACACCAATTTTTCCATACCAACACATTGGTTGTGAACATATGATATGATCACTTATCTACATTTCTATATAAATACTAGAAAAGCGCTCAATGAAGTATTTAAAGATCTACCTACCAATCACCCTGGTGATCATCATTAGTTCTAGATATAAAAAGCACTGAATATGGAGATATGTAGGCTTACACATAAAAATTTTAAGATATAAAATGGATCCACGTGTAAGATTGTGTGAGAGAAGAGGACTAAACTTCCCCAAATGCTCTCAGCCAAATTAAACTACATACGACTTTTATGAAATTTCTTGAAATTCTTGCCCATTTTGTAGAGGAGGACAATACCTTCTCCAGAGCCAGTGTTTCTGCCACAACAAATGGATATCCTCAATGGGGACTTGATTTGTCTCAGGCAAGAGGAAGAAGATGAAGGAACTCATGATCACAATCAATGCTGCAAAAACCAGGAAGATACCATACTTGAGATGGCATAAGGATGCCAGGAAGCACTGCGCAATTATAGCTGTGAAGATCATGTTGACACACACCACGAGGCTCTGGCCCGCGGACCGCGTCTCCAAAGGGAAGAGCTCGCTCGGGACTAGCCACCCGAGCGGGCCCCACGACCTTCCGTAAGCAAAAACAAACACGCATATCAAAAACACCAAAAAGATCCCAATGCCCTTCGAGAGCTGTTCGCCTTGTCCGAATTTAATTGCAAGTGTGATGGCGAGCGCCACCATGACACATACCATTTCTGCCCCTGCTTCTAGAAACAGTACTCGCCTTCCGAACCTGTCCACTAAGGCCATAGAGAAGAGGGTGGAAAAGACGAGAATCCCGCTCGTGAGGGCGGATGAAGAGAGAGACGCCCCAGACCCAAATCCCAAACTCTGGAATATGACTGGGGCGTAGAAAAGGATGGAGTTCATCCCAGTCAGCTGTTGGAACGCGGGAATTCCAACAGCTGCAATGATTAACTGAGGCCGGTTCCTCCTCTTCAGGAGGTTCCGGAAAGGTTTCTTTATAGCTTGGGCCGC